TTATGACGTTTGCACAGAGAGTGGCGGAGGAGATGGGGATCCCCGCCGTCGTGTTCTGGACGACGAGCGCTTGTGGTTTCATGGCGTATCTTCACTTCGCTGAGCTGATAAAAAGAGGCTATGTTCCACTTAAAGGTGCGTGCTTGTTTTAATTAGTGTCTGTTTGTTCCCCCTCAAAGCTTTACTAGCCTGTATTGGTTGTGCAGACGAAAGCTACCTAAACAATGGCTACCTAGAAACCCCAATCGACTGGATCCCCGGCATGCCAGACATCCGGCTCAAAGACTTCCCCAGCTTCATCCGCACGACGGACCCCAACGACATAATGCTCAACTTCGACGGCAACGAAGCACAGAACGCTCGCACAGCCCGCGGACTCATCCTCAACACCTTCGACGAACTTGAACGCAGCGTCATCCAAGCTCTCGGCTCCATCTTTCCAAATCTCTACACAATCGGCCCCCTCCCTCTCTTCCTCTCCCCACCGACCCCAAACACCAACTCCATCGGCTCCAACCTATGGAAAGAAGACCTCAGCTGCCTCCAATGGCTTGACAAACAGGATCTCGGTTCTGTTCTGTACGTCAACTTCGGCAGCATAACGGTGGTCACGGCCGATCAGCTAAGGGAATTCGCTTGGGGTTTGAAGAACAGCGGTTTTCCTTTCTTGTGGATAATGAGGCCGGATCTCGTGCGAGGGCATGAGGGGGCGGCGGCTGATGAGGTTTTGGTGAGAATGGAAGAAGATGGGAGAGGGAAAGTGGCGGCGTGGTGCGTGCAGGAGGAAGTGCTAGGACACGGAGCAGTGGGAGTGTTTTTGACGCATTGTGGGTGGAATTCGACGGTGGAGAGTATATGCGGTGGTGTGCCGATGATTTGTTGGCCGTTCTTCGCGGAGCAGCAGACTAACTGTAGGTATGTGTGTGGGGAATGGGGTTTGGGGGTGGAGATAGAGGGGGAGGTGAGGAGGGAGAAGGTGGAAGGGATTGTGAGGGAGGTGATGGAAGGGGAGAAGGGGAGGGAGATGAGGGTGAGGGCGAGGGAGTGGAAGGAGAGGGGGCGGCGAGCGGCGGAGATCGGGGGATCTTCATCGGAAGGATTGGAGAGGTTGGTGAG